CTGGAGCAACTGGAGGTGCTGCTGCTGTGGTGCTGCTGGTGCTGCTGGAGGTGCTGCTGGTACTGGTGCTGCTGGTGCTGGTACTGCTGGAGCTGCTGGAGGTGCTGCTGGTGCTGGAGCTGCTGGAGGCACTGCTGCTGCTGGCGGTGCTGCTGGAGCTGCTGGTGCTGGTGCTGCTGGAGCTGCTGGAGGTGCTGCTGGTACTGGTGCTGCTGGTGCTGGTACTGCTGGAGCTGCTGGAGGTGCTGCTGGTGCTGGAGCTACTGGAGGCACTGCTGCTGCTGGCGGTGCTGCTGGAGCTGCTGGAGGTGCTGGTGCTGCAGGAGGTGCTGGTGCTGCAGGAGGTGCAGCTGGTGCTGGAGCTGCTGGAGCTGCTGGTCCTGGAGGTGCTCGTACTGGAGGTACTGGAGCTGCTGGGACTGGAGCTGCTGCGGGAGTTGGAGCTGGAGTTGCTGAGCGGCCGCGGCCGTACTACGTTCCGCTCCTAAAGCACGTTCTTGGTCTCCCGCCCTCTCCTGGTCCTACTCCTCCCCTACTGAGTCCACCGCCTGTCCAGTCACAGTCACAGTTACAGCCTGCCTCTCCGCTGCCTGGTCCTTCTCCTTACACTGCGCCGACGGGTAGTCTTACTGAGCGTCGTGAGCCTGAGTCTCGTCCTCCGTCGCCTGAGTCTAATCCGGAGTCGCCTGAGTCGCGTCCAGAGTCGCCTGTCCGCGCTGTCCGCGCTGGTCGTCGTTCTCCACGTCAGCGTCCTCCTCCTGTCCTTGGCACTCACTATATGACCCTGCGTCCTTCCACTGCTCCACAGCGTGTCCCTCTGCCGTCTCCTCCTGCGTCCTCTCTTCCTGACGTTGCTGACCCGCCGTCAGACCTCGCTCGTGCTGCCAGTCCTACTGTCGCGCGTCTCCTTGGCACTGTTGTCACTGACCCTACCTTTGAGTCCTCTGCTGCGTCTGCCCTAGTCGCTGAGCTTGTTGACTTTGCTGCCACCTGTCGTCTAGACTACGCCGCTAGCCTTGTTGCTGAGTCTGACTTTGTCCGTCCTCCGTCCGTCGGGGGTGAGTGTGCTCTTGGCACGGACGTCCTTGAGGACAGACAGGAGGAGTTTGAGTGCTTTGCTGCTGCTTTACCTCATCTCGTGTCCATGCTGTGTGCCCCTGAGGGAGACCCGGATGCACCAGACATCCCGACCCCACGCTCTTACGCAGAGGCGATGGAGGGTCCCTACTCCTCTCAGTGGCAGACAGCCATGGACGCAGAGATGGCTTCGTGGAAGTCCACAGGCACCTACGTCGACGAGGTTCCCCCACCTGGGGCGAACATCGTCAGTGGCATGTGGATTTTCAGGGTGAAGCGGCCGCCGGGTTCTCCGCCTGTCTTCAAGGCGCGTTACGCTGCACGAGGCTTCAGTCAGCGAGAGGGAGTTGACTTCTTCCAGACCTTCTCCCCGACCCCGAAGATGACCACTCTTCCGGTTCTGCTGCACGTCGCCGCTCAGCGTGACTACGAGCTCCACTCTCTTGACTTTAGCACTGCGTTCCTACAGGGCAGCCTGCACGAGGAGATCTGGCTGCGCCGCCCACCTGGCTTCATTGGGTCGTTCCCTCCTGGTACCCAGTGGAGCCTCCGGCGGCCAGTCTACGGTCTCCGCCAGGCACCCCGTGAGTGGCACGACACACTGAGGACTACTCTTGCTGCTCTTGGGTTTGCTCCCTCCACTGCTGACCCGTCGCTGTTCCTACGCACCGACACCACTCTGCCGCCGTTCTACGTTCTAGTGTACGTAGACGACTTGGTCTTTGCTACTGCTGACACTGAGGCACTCGCCCACGTGAAGTCGGAGCTGCAGAAGAGACACACGTGCACAGACCTGGGTGAGCTGCGCAGCTATCTTGGCTTGCAGATCACCCGGGACAGAGCACGGCGCACCATCACCTTGACTCAGTCACACATGGTGCAGCAGGTCCTTCAGCGCTTCCGCTTCACGTACTCCTCGCCTCAGCCCACTCCTCTGCCTACCGGTCACTTGCTCTCAGCTCTGCCTTCGGATGAGTCCGTAGAGCCGAGTGGCCCGTATCTAGAGCTTGTGGGCTGCCTCATGTACCTGATGACCTGCACTCGACCTGACCTTGCATACCCTCTTAGCATCCTAGCACGCTATGTCGCTCCTGGCCGTCACCGGAAGGAGCACATGGATGCCGCTAAGAGGGTGTTGCGCTACTTGTGCAGTACGTCGGGCATGGGGCTTGTGCTTGGAGGACGGAGAGACGTTGTCCTCACTGGGCACTCAGACGCTTCTTGGGCTGACGACCAGGCTACGCAGCGGTCGTCTCAGGGTTACACCTTTAGTCTTGGCTGTGGTTCAGTTTCTTGGCGTTCTACTCGCTCGTCTTCAGTTCTCAGCTCCAGTTGTGAGGCTGAGATCTACGCCACAGCCATGGCTGCCCAGGAGCTACGTTGGCTCACCTACCTGCTGACCGACCTGGGAGAGCGGCCTCGTTCTCCTCCAGTGCTGTACGTCGACAACAAGGCCGCCCTTGCCTTGTGTCAGGAGCACAGACTAGAGCACAGAACGAAGCACATCGCCCTGCGCTACTTCCTTGCTCGAGAGCTGCAGCAGCGTGGTCAGCTTCGTCTTACCTACGTGGCCACTCGGGCCAACACTGCTGATGTGTTCACCAAGGCGCTTCAGCCTTGTGATCATCAGCGTTTCTGTACTGTTCTAGGCCTAGTGCCTACTGTCCTTCACTTGCTCACTTCTTGACTCTGCTTGTACTGTGATCTCTATATATATACCTGCATGCTTACACTTGCTAGGTTGTGATCACTGTACCTCTTGTTATATTATCAAACTGCATGTGAACTGGTCTTGTGACCGCTTGCTTGTGCTCGAAATTTGTGTGGTATCCTTGAGATCCACCCTGAGCTTGTTTTGCTTTGCTTTGCCTTGACTGGTCTTGTGACCATCTGGTTGTCTCCCACTTTGCCTATGGGGGTGTGTCAAACATTGTATATGTTTGTGCTTTGTAGGCTGTAGTAGGTTTAGCCTTAGGGGGTACAATCTCTAGGGTTTCATACTTGTACTCCCAACTTTCCTAGTTCAATCATTCTTGTCCTCTCTAAGATTCTAACACAGTCACCGTCTCCACTCTCACTGGCTACCTCCACTCGAACTGGCACTCGGGCGGGTAACCCTGGATAGTAGGCCCTGTTGGTTTGGGAAAAAACAAAAGCATCCGTGCTCAAACACCTTGCCCAACCTCTAAACACTCTGGGAAAAAATTTATCGTTGCCCTGTTTTCCAGATTGGCAACCGTTGCATCGGGCAGGGCAGAAAAGTGCACTGCGGGCATCTGGTGTACAGTTTAAAATCGAACGCGAGATTACGTTTCCATTGAAGCGCAATTTCTCGCAAGACGCCAAAAAAGCGACTGTAGATCAAGGTCTGTTCGGTAGGCACCCAGTCAGACTGGGCCCCACTCGCACTGGAGAACCCGAGGCTAGGAAGGTGGATGTTGGGTTCTCCAGTGCGAGTGGCTCTAGTCTGGCTGGGGCCTCGTTCTGTTCGCGCATAGATTGGCCCTGTTCGCCAGCACAACTAACCGCAAAATGGACGGGATCAGGAAGGTGAGTCTCGCCTTCCTAATCCCGTCCGTCAGGGTTCGTTAATGTCCGTCAGGATGGTCAGCCCGTGAAATTATTGCCAAACCTCTAATTCCGTCCGACCCAAATGGAACCATGATGGCCTGGCTAACGCCATAAATTTTCCCCCATTTCAGACGGAATCATAGCTGTTGGAAATGGGGAAGCAATTTCGTCCCTAGGCAACCTCTCCGCCCCATGCCATCCCATCGCAATTCACCATTTCACATAAAATTGCCTTAGGATCGCGATTGAATTGGCGAGCTGAGGGTAACCATTTAGGTGGGGCTGAAGGTGGGGAGGGTGGTTCCTGATCCCGTGGGCCCGTTTCCCATTTCTGGCGCGAAATTTCGCAAAAGGACCATTCCGCCCAAACCTATTCGGCTGGTTCCGCCCCCGGTTCCTGATTACGTTGCCATCCCGATGCCGTCAGATTTCTTTCGAATTCACATGTGCTGGCGAACAGGACCATTGTGCTTGACCCTAACGAGGAATATTCTTGGAAAGCACATAAAAGGCTTAAAGCCCACGTCGAGCCTCCCAGCTCGTTATTGTGTACCTAAACATCTGGTGCGGAAGTTGTGCGTGCATCACTTATGCGTGCACTAAAACGCTGAACAAGCCGTGCGCTGGGATCATTCTACGAACTTGGTTCCACATTCAAACTTCCCGACTAGTCTGTGCGAGCCCTATGCGCTCATCGAGGGGGGGATGAAGGGGCGCACAACCAATACCGTATTCTCCCGGATAAAACACCCCCCCGTAATTGTACACCCCCGGGTAGCTTATACGGGGTGGGTGTTATATCCGACCCCGTTAGTACTATACCCCCCCTTTTGGGGTGATTTTCTATAACACCCCCCTTTTCTTATAGATTCTTATTATAGCTGTTATTGAGTCCGATTCCTTACGGGGGGATATCGTGTGAATTGCTCCCTAGATAAAATTTCGCGTGTACTTTCACTTACCGTAGAATCTGCCAAGATTTCCCCCCTCCCACAATCTCGCTGTCGCCACGCTGGCGAATCTTCCGCTGCAAATGGCCCAAACCAGTCAAGAACTGACTGGTACAGTAACAACGCACCACCGTGCGCAATTCCGCCTCGGCGGTTGCATGAACCCTCGCCACGCAATTGGCTTTGTTTTCACCCTATCAAGTGCCAGAATTGCCCACTGGAATTTGCCACGTGGCAGATTCCAGTGGGCAGTCACGTTAACACGTTTAAAACCCTTCAGAAATTTTGCCAAAAACCAAGCTGACCTCGGGCTTTAAAGCCCGAGGTCAGCTTGGTTTTTGGCAAATTTTCTGAAGGGTTTTAAACGTGTTGGCGGAAAGAAAAAAGGCTAATTTCGGGAATATGGGAGGGGCGAAAACGAGATCAGGCTGCGAGGAGATTGGGAAGTCGTCACTCAACATCGGTGTGAGTGTGCGACAAACCAACCCAACCAACCAACCAAACGAGTAAGCCAACCTCACCAGTCTAGTAGTCAGAAAACATCCCGACAGCGCATCGTAGCAAAAAATACGCAGAATTTAGGAACTTCACCCGCGCATACACAAAGTTGTTGTGCCTCGCCTCCCGTCGTTGCGTCTCCCCTCGCCTCGCCCCCTAGCCCATCGTCACGCCTCCCGGAGGGGGCCCGTCGTTTCTGGGAGCCTCCCCTCGCCGCGCCTCCGCTCCCCTCGTCGCGCCTCCGTTCGCCTCGCCGCGCCTCCGCTCGCCTCGCCGTGCCTCCGCTCGCCTCGCCGCGCCTGCGCTCGCCTCGCCGCGCCTCCGCTCGCCTCGCCGCGCCTCCGCTCGCCTCACCGCGCCTCCGCTCCCCTCGTCGCGCCTCCGTTCGCCTCGCCGCGCCTCCGCTCACCTCGCCGCGCCTCCCCTGCCATCAGCGCGCCACCACCCTCGTCGCGCTGCCCCTCCTCGCGCCTCCACTCCCGCTGCCCTTCTCCCACCTGCCCATCCCTTGCCCTCGCTTCCCTGCCTTTCCATTCCCTCTTGTTACCTTCCCCTCTATTCCCTCTGCTTCCCCTCATTCCCCCCTCTTCTTCCCTCATTTACTCCCCTGCTTCCTCTCGTTTTCCCCTCTGCTTCCCCTGGTTTCCCTCCTGCTTCCCCAATTCCAGCCCCCTGATTTTCCTATTTTTAACCTCCTGCTTCCCCTAATTTCTTCTTTTGCTTCCCCTCATGTCCGCCTCTGCTTCCCCGCATTTACCCCGCTGCTTCCCCTCGTTTCCCCCTCTGCTCTCATCGTTCCCCCCCTGCTTCCCCTCATCCCCCCCTCCCCCCTTCCCCTCATTTCCCCCGCTGCTTCCCCTCATGTCCCTCTCTTCTTCTCCTCATTTCCCCCTCCGCTTCTCCTCAGTCCCCCCTCCGCTTCCCTTCCTTCCCGCCTCCGCTTCTACTCATTCCCCCCTCCTCTTCTCCTCATCCCGCCCTCCGCTTCTCCTCATTCCCCTCCCCGCTTCTCCTCATTCCCCCCTCCGCTTCTCCTCATTCCCCCTTCCGCTTCCCCTTGTTTTCCCCTCTGCTTTCCCCTGTGCAGGGACTTCACATTCTCTCTGTGCTTCTCTGTCCCCTGGTCCCCCATGCGCAACCCTGTGCCCATCAAGTGGTGGACGAGGCATGCCGCTTGCTGTGCCAGTCATACCATAATTGACTGCCCCTCACCCTCACCCTGTGCCCGCTGTGCCCCCTCTGTCCCCTCGGCCTCCCCGTGCCTCCCCGTGCCTCCCCATGCCTCCCCATGCCTCCCCATGCCTCCCCATGCCTCCCCGTGCCTCCCCATGCCTCCCTCCGTGCACCCCCTGCACCGCCTGCATCCCCTCTTGCCCCCATCAGGTGGTGGACAAGGCCGACCGGCTGCTGCGCCAGTTCTACCACGACTGGCTGCCGCTCACCCTCGCCGCCGTCGCTGCTGCCCCTTTCTGGTGCCACTGCTGCCATGTCAGCAGTCGCCGGCATGCATGCTGACGTGGCAGTGAGCGTGCCGGTTCTGTGCGGCGTCATGCACATACATGGCAGTGGCAGCGTGAGCGGTGTTCTCCCCACTCCATTCATCCACGGCCTGCAAACTCTGTGGGCCCTCAACGGTCACCTCATGCTGCTGTGCTACTTACACACCTATGTACATTCTTTGCGCTCACTTCATCTCTTATTACGGTGTTTGTGAGAACCCTCGTCTCTTACCTCAGAAGTGCTGCACTCACAAGACTGCCAATTGCATAATCAGAAACGTCAGCAGCAACCGCAATAGGGCCAGTATTCCTATGTTGCATCACAAAGAAGAGGTCGGGTCAACACTGAGATATGGGCATACACAATACACCCCTTATACCACTATCATCACAGGTAGACCCTTGTACCTATAAACCTCCAGCGCATAACATAGCACGATCCACAAGTCGATCCCTACGGCCAGATAACCCAGATTATATTCAGGTACCTGGGTAAGCATCTCTCACAGCCGCTAGAGTGCTCTAAGAGTGCCTCTGGCGTGCTGGCAGGCGAGAGACTGCCATTGTCACGACTCGCAAGCACTGCAATGTGCAGCACCAGTCGAGGCATGCAAAATGAACTCGCCTTATGTTCCAGCACTGCAGCATGTGGCTCTCGGCCCGCCACACAGCAACATGGCCTGCCTTTCCCTGCACCGCTCTGCACTCCCCCAGCCCACAGCAGCGCAGCCCAGCCTTGACGTGCGCTGCCGCCATCATTACTGCCAGCCTGCCTTCCCCTCCTGCATCAACGCTCCGCGGCAAACTCCCTGACACTGCCAGTCCCCATATCCTGCCACAGCCCCTGCCTGCCTTTCCCCCTTCCTCCCACACCACGCCGCACTGCCCATGCTGCACTGCCGCACTGAAGGCAGTGTCGACAAGAGGCTGCCTCAAAGTTCCACCAGAAGAGAAGCCCATCTTGCAGAGTGGAGTGGGCAGGTACCGCTCCGTGAGCGGTGTGGCGGTGGCGGGTTCGTCTTCGATGGCCTGCCGCGCGGAAGAAGAGGGTGGGGGGCGGCAGGGCAGAGAATGAAGGGAACGCAGGGTTTAGGGTTAGGAGAAGGGAGGGCAGAGGATGATGGGAAGCAGGGCAGGGGTAGGGAGGAAGCAGTGCAGAGGGTGGGGGAAAGCATGTTCAGTGAAACGGCTCACACGGAGACATGAAACAGGGAGAAGGGGACAGGGAGAAAGGGGGGAGCAGGGAAGGGGATGAGGGGAAGCAGGGACAGGGATGGGGGGAAGAAGGGAATGGGATGGGGGGAAGCAGGGAACGGAGGGGGGGAAGCAGGGAAGGGGATTGGGGGAAGCTGGGAAGGGGATGGGGGGAAGCAGGGAAGGGGATGAGGGGAAGTAGGGAAGGGGATGGGGGGAAGTAGGGAAGGGACGATGGGGAGGGGTACATGGGAAGGGACATGGGAAGGAGGAGGAAGAGGGTGAGATCGAGGGAAAGGAGGGGCATATGGAGAAAGTGAAGCCTCACCTGGTGTGTGGCGCTCACCTCTCTGATGGTGGGAACGGAATGGGGGGAAGCAGGGAATGGGGTGGGGGGAAGCAGGGAAGGGGATGGGGGGAAGCAGGGAAGGGGATGGGGGGGAGCAGGGAAGGGGATGAGGGGAAGCAGGGAACGGGATAGGGGGAAGCTGGGAACGGGATGGGGGGAAGACGGGAATGGGATGGGGGGAAGCAGGGAACTGGATGGGGGGAAGCAGGGAAGGGGATTGGGGGAAGCAGGGAAGGGGATGGGGGGAAGCAGGGAACGGGATGGAGGGGAGCAGGGAACGGGATGGAGGGGAAGCTGGGATGGGGATGGGCGGAAGCAGGGAATGGTATGGGGGGAAGTAGGGAAGGGGACTGGAAGAAGCAGGAAAGGGGATGGGGGGAAGCAGGGAACGGGATGGGCGGAAGCAGGGAATGAGATGGGGGGGAGCAGGGAAGGGGATGAGGGGAAGCAGGGAATGGGATGGGGGGTACGGGGGCAGATGCCGGGGAGAGAGCTGGGGGGAGGATGGTGGGGAGCAGGGGGAAGAGGGAGAGAGGTAAACAGTGCGATTATTGGTGGGGGGGAAAGGTGTGCGTAGGGGTTGAAAAGGAAGGGTGACAAGTGTGCGCGATAGGAGGGGAGACGGGAGGGATGGCGAGGGCGACGGGGAGAGAAGGAGACGGGGATTGCGACGGGACGAGCGGGAGGAAGGGCGACGAGACGAACGGAAAGGTTACGGGCGGAAGGGAGAGCGGCGTGCGGAAGGGAGAGCGGCGTTTGGAAGGGAGAGCGACGGGCGGAAGGGAGAGCGTCGGGCGGAAGTGAGAGCGACGGGCGGAAGGGGATGCGACGAGCGCTAGGGAGTGCGACGGGCGGAAGGGAGGGCGACGAGCCCTATGGAGGGCGACGAGCATAAGGTAGGGCGACGGCGGGAGGGAGGGCGATGGGCGTAAGGGAGTGCGATGGGCGGAAGTGGGTGCGTCGAGAAGTTGGCAAGCGCCCGTTCCTTGCGCTTGGGACGTACTTGTGAGCGTCATCTTCCTATAGAAATGGGCGTTTCACGTGACGTTTTTCTTTATGCTGGCTATTTTTATTTTGGAGAACAACAAACAGGCTGCTGCAAGGATACAGACAGCTCGCTGCCATTGTGAAAATGTGAGCTCACGCGCTCTTGTGGTACTGAATAGCGGAGAAGACTAGGTATATTGTGCCTGAATATGGCTGCCCATCAGTACAACTTGGTTTTCAAGTTTACTGAATGTGAACAGTGGTCGATCTCCAGTTGACACTTCACCTCGAAGCCTTGTTTTGTCGCTGGCCAATCATGCATCAGAGTTGCAAAACCTTTCCTCTGTGAAGTGACGGAATGCTTCACTTCGGGTGGTAACTTGGTTTTTGGCGAGTTCATATTCAAGAATCTTGAATTTGAAAACAGCCATGTGGAACTCGAGCTTTAAAACCAGGGTGCACATTCAATTGGATTTCTGTCAAAGGTTAACCTTTGACCTCGGGGTTACTCAGTGATTTAGGAATATCTGGGGGGAGTGTTCGCTTCAGCAGGTGAACATTTGAACCCTCGAGATTTGGCAAATGTATACCGAAGTCATCGAATGTGCTTCCGCCAATTCGTTTCCCCCCTCCCCATACCTATTCCGCTCCCACCGAAATTGTTTCCCCTTCCCCCACAATATCGTCTCACCCCCTTTCCCCTTTCCGCCAACCCAGTTGCCCTCCCCTTGATCCCCAATTTCTAGATCCAAGTGTTATCAATTTCTCCCCTGCCAAGCCTCATCTCTCACGGACGAAAAGCCCCATGCTCGCCCATTCTCAACTATTTATTCGCTACTCGTCAACCAATCAGCAGTTCCCGCAAACATGCCGCCCAAAATTTAGCCTGGAGTCGCGTTGAATGTGTACCCTGGTTTTAAGGTGTTCGTTAGCAAACTCTCACTGGCTTGGTTCGGTGTTCTACTAACGAGTTTATGGGCTTTAAGCTTGTACACATTCTAACTGGGGAACCTGCCCTGACCCATCCGCAGTCCGTCTAGGCAGCCTACCAAACAAGGCCAAGCCTGTCGAACAGGCCTTCGTAGCATTCAAAATCCACAAACCACACCTTTCTGCCTCGCACGAAATCGAACGCGACATCAGCAGACTCGCTACCGCTAGCAGTGAGACTTCATTCCACATCAGCATGTCCACAGCCAGCCCTTGACTGGTACGCGATTCCATCCTCGTAACACACAGTCTCCTTAACGCCGACCACTCCGTCACGAGTTCACGGAGAACCTGAACGTCGAGTCCCGGATATTGTGCCGGGAATCGCGCATCGAGTATTCCGCGGGTAATTTCCGGACGCGTCAAACCAAAAAGGTGCTATCGCATATCGACCACTTCACCATTCTCGTTCTCTCTAGTAGCTCTAATCGTTGCGACCTTCCTGCCTCATTCCCTCATCCCCTCGCCCCATGCTCGAAGCATCCGCAACTTAGCATGTATTCGGTTCAGGCAAACGCCGTTCCGAGTATTAGGGATGTACGTGATTTCTCTACCCGCAAAGCTACCGGCAGAGTCGCGGAAGCCAACAATCCCGCCGGCCGGAGAGCCAAAGCCGTTAGATTTGACGAGCCGACAGAACCCGACGAGGAATTCGAGTCCACAAAACCTCCTGCGATAAACGACAAGCCGTTAATCGGCATTCTATTGCAGCCGGGCGACGGCGATGGCGTGAAGGCGCCACGTTTCACCTGCTTCCCCTTCCCTTCCCTCCCCTTCCCTCCCCTTCCCTCCCCTTCCCTCCCCTTCGCTCCCCTTCCCTCCCCTTCGCTCCCCTTCCCTCCCCTTCCCTCCCCTTCCCTCCTCTTCCCTCCCATTCCTTCCCCTTCCCTCCCCTCCCCTCCTTCCCTCCGCTTCCCGCGCCCTCCCCCGCCGTCCCGCACCTTCCCCCGCCGTCCCGCACCTTCCCGCGCCTTCCCTCGCCTTTTCTCCCCTTCCCGCCCATTCCTTCCACGTATCTCCCCTACCCGCCAGTGTCGTGGTCTTATAGCCAGCGCCACTCCGCCTCTGCGAGTGCGGGTGACCGGGCACGGGAAAGCGCCTGCATAGCGGCGCACGAAAAGAATCGAGGCTTCCCTTACGGGGTGAGTCAGTCCACTCTATGCCCCTCCATTCCCCTCCCTCCATGCCCTTCGTCTCTTCCCTTCCGGCCCTTCTCTTCTCGTCTTCCTACCCTTCTCTTCCCGCTGCTCCCTTCCCTTCCTGCCCTTCCCTTCCCGCCTTTCGTTTCTCTTCCTGCCCCTCCCTTCCCCCTTTTCCTTCTCTTCCTGCCTTCCTGCCCTTCGCTTCCCGCTGCTCCCTTCTATTCGTGCCCTTACCTTCCCTTCCATCGGTCAAGAAGGACAATCGCGGAACCCAACCCTCAAGTATCCCAAATCAGCAGTGTATGCACGCCCGTATTCACGACCTACTGTTTTTCGATGCAAGCTTGCTCGCAGGAGCGATGAAGCGGGGGGAGGCGCGGCGGGTGGACGTGGCGTACAACGTGGAGGAGGAGGAGGAGGAGGAGGTGGCGGCGGAGGACGCCATGCGCGAGCAGGAGGCGTGGGAGCGCTCCTACGCCAACGACCGCTCCTGGGAGTCCGTGCAGGTGAGAGCTGGTTGTGGGAGTCCGTGCAGGTGAGAGCTGGTTGTGGGAGTCCGTGCAGGTGAGAGCTGCTTGTGGGTCTGCCCTTGCACTCACGGCCCTTGCACTCACGGCCCTTGCACTCACTGTCCTTCCCTCCCCCTCCCCCGTTCTGTGCGTCGGTGTGGGCAGGAGGACGAGAGTGGGCGGCTGCGCCCGGTGGACGTAGCGGGGCAGCAGCGCAGTGAGAGGGAGAGGAGGCGGCGGCAGCAGGCGGGGCAGGCGGGGCGGGTGGGGGCGCAGCGGGTGAGGCGCGGCATCATTCGCTACCTCGTGCTCGCCCTCGACTTCTCCCGGGTGGGTGGGCCTCTCTTGGGTTGGTGGACCGTGGAGGTGAGAAGGGTTGTGATGACTGCTGCCATGCCATGTCGCTCTTGGAAGAGGTGGCCTGACTTTCATGTCGTCACACACCGTTGCACTGTGTGCGGTGGAGTGCCGTCCGCATGTCTGTATCATGTCTCCTTCCCATGTCCATCCCGCTATGGCATGGAATGACATGGCATGACATGGCATGACATGACATGGCATGGCACTTCGCCTCACCTCCCTGCATGGCAGGCAGGCAGCGAGTGAGGTGGACATGAAGCCATCGCGCATGGCAGCCATGGCGCGCAGCAGCGAGGCATTCATTCTCAACTTCTTCGACAGCAACCCGCTCAGCCACCTCGCCCTGCTGCTGCTGCGTGACGGTGTCGCCTCGCAGCTCTCAGAACTCACCTCACCACCCGATGCGCACATCAAGGCGCTGCAGTCCAACCTCTCCGCCTCGGGACCCGCCTCCCTGCAGGTACCACCCGCCTCCCTGCAGGTAATTTTCATCATGCCTGCTTGTGATGTCTCGCTCGCGCGCAATCAAGCTCACGTGGCACCATGCATCGAACTCAAACTCCACATGCCATCACCTCCACCCCACATGTGATGCCACGCCCACCCGTGCTCCTCTCCTTGCGCCCTGTGCCCGGCGCCCCTCAGAACGTGCTGGAGGCAGCAGTGGAGGCGGTGGCGCACGTGCCGGCGTACGGCCACCGCGAGCTGCTGCTGCTCTTCGCGGCGCTCGCCTCCACCGACCCCGGCGACATCCTGCCCGCCATCCGCCGCGCGCGCGCCGCCCACCTGCGGTGCTCCATCATCGGCGTGGGCGGCGCCGAGGTGCACATCTGCCGCCACATCGCCGAGCAGACGGGCGGGCGCTACAGCGTCGCCATGGATGACGTGAGGCCCATGGGGTTGACATGATGCATGGATGACATGAGGCATGGATGACATGAGGCATGGATGACATGAGGCATGGATGACGTGAGGCATGGATGACATGAGGCATGGATGACATGAGGCAGGGATGACGCGAGGCCTGTGGGGTGGGGCGCACTCTGGGGCGTGGGGGTGGAGAGCGGTATCACTAGATGGTTGCTCCCGTTGATATTGAACGCATCTCTGTTCATTGTTGCACCTTTGAAGGCACCCACCCTCTATCGAATCTCTCGCTTTGTGACAAGCTGGTTTCTGCCACTTTATCCTGCCTGGACACCAACTTGGACGCTTCACCTGCTGCTGCTGCCAATGATTCCTGCCTCTCGCCTTCCTCCTTCCCTTCCCCGATTTTCCGGCCTTTCTTCGTATCTCCAATTGTCTCTCTTGTTCCCTTCACCCTGCTTCCACCTCCAGGCGCATCTGAGGGAGCTGCTGATGAGCCATGCGCCGCCACCACCGGTGCAGGCGGGCAGTGCGGGCAGTGCAGCCAGTCTCGTGCGGATGGGCTTCCCCCAGCGCGCCCCCGAGGGGGCAGCAGCGCTGTGCGCCTGCCACATGCACCTCCGCCTTGCCGCCACCTACGTGTGCCCCAGGTGCCGGTATGTGTGCCCCAGGTGCCGGTATGTGTGCCCCAGGTGCCGGTATGTGTGCCCCAGGTGCCGGTATGTGTGCCCCAGGTGCCGGTATGTGTGCCCCAGGTGCCGGTATGTGTGCCCCAGGTGCCGGTATGTGTGCCCCAGGTGCCGGTATGTGTGCCCCAGGTGCCGGTATGTGTGCCTCAGGTGCCGGTATGTGTGCCCCAGGTGCCGGTATGTGTGCCTCACTTGCAAGTTCAGGTGCAATGCTCCCAGACGCCATTCACTCCCTCCCGCAAAGCCATGCAGTTACCACCCATTGCATCTCATCTGCATCAATCCCTCCACCTGCCATCTCCGACGTGTCCTCTCTGTCTCTTCCCCCCCCCCACCCCCCAAGCCACATCCCCCTGCATTTCTTCATCCCGCCTTTTCGCAGCTGCAAGCGAAGGCCCACCTCATGCCACTTGCCTTCCTTCCCCTTCCCTCCCCTCTCCTCCTCCCTCCTCCCCTTCCCTCCCTCAAACCTCTCCCCCCACCCCCCAGCTCGCGGGTGTGTGCGCTACCAGCAGAGTGCCCGGTGTGTGCGCTCACGCTCGTGTCCTCGCCGCACCTCGCCCGCTCCTACCACCACCTCTTCCCCGTGCCGCCCTTCTCCGAGGTCCCTCTGCCGCCCGCTCCCAAGAGACCTGCCGGGCAGGCAGCCCCTGCCGCCCCGCACAGCGGCCTGCCGCTCGCCTGCTTCAGCTGCACTGCCGCACTGCCTTTACTCGGTGAGCACTGCCTTTCCTCGCTGAGCACTGCCTTTCCTCGCTGAGCACTGCCTTTCCTCGCTGAGCACTGCCTTTCCTCGCTGAGCACTGCCTTTCCTCGCTGAGCACTGCCTTTCCTCGCTGAGCACTGCCTTTCCTCGGTGAGCACACGCTGGTAGGCTGTGCTGGGGGATGGGGTAGGGTCAGTCATTGGGGTCATTCGTTGCCTCGCCCACAGCATCACAGCATCCCCACCTCCATCCTCTGCCTGCCCGTCCTCCCTGCCGGCATGTCTGCCCGTCCTCGCTGCCGGCATGTCTGCTCAGTCTTGTTTTCTTCCACCTGCCACTCCACTGCTGGCTGCTGACTGGCCTTTGACTGACTGTTGACCGTGCCACTGTGCGCAGAGACGGAGGGAGGGGGAGTGCGGGTGGAGTGCCCCACGTGTGCGCGGCACTTCTGCTTTGACTGCGACGTCTTCATCCACGAGAGCCTGCACAACTGCCCCGGCTGCGAGGCCACCCGCCTGCCCCAACTGCCGTAGCCAACCACAGGGACAATGGGGGGAGAGGGTGGATAAGGTTTCGGCGGTGTATCGACACAATGGCACCAATCTGTGTATCGACACAATGGCACCAAGCTGTGTATCGACACAATGGCACCAAGCTGTGTATCGACACAATGGCACCAAGCTGTGTATCGACACAATGGCACCAAGCTGTGTATCGACACAATGGCACCAAGCTGTGTATCGACACAATCGCACCAAGCTGTGTATCGACACAATGGCACCAAGCTGTGTATCGACACAATGGCATGGCACCAAGCTGTGTATCGACACAATGGCACCAAGCTGTGTATCGACAGAATGACACCAAACTGTGTATCGACACAATGGCATCAAGCTGTGCATCGACACAATGGCACCAAGATGTCTATCGACACAAAGGCACCAAGCTGTGTATCGACACAATGGCACCAAGCTGTGTATCGACACAATGGCACCAAGCTGTGTATCGACACAATGGCACCAAGCTGTGTATCGACACAATGGCACCAAGCTGTGTATCGACACAATGGCACAAAGCTGGTGTTCGATCCAACTTGCATAGCCAACGATAGGGAGATGAGGGGGAGGAGGGAGGGGGAGGGGGGAGTGTCAAAACATAGAGTTATGTCTATTTCACTCTAGGTTGTGTAGGGGTCATCCCTTAGAGGGTACAACCCAATTCTCTCGACACTCTTGTACTCCCTCTCCCTTACCTAATCATCATTCCTCACCTAGCTAGTGATTCTAACATGGTATTAAGAGCACAATGCTCCTTAGGACCGAATTTTTAAAAGGGCCCACCAGTACTATTTCGATCTACTGCCCGAGTCGCGCCCCTAGGAGAAACGCGAAATTCGAAACCGTGCTCTAGGCGAGACGGTTCCTTTTTCTGCCCTAGACGCGATTTTCCTTCCTAGTCACGTGCGACCCCCCCTGACCGCGCCCTAGCTGCCAGTACAGCCCGCGTAGGCCCGTCGCGAAGCCCGTACAGCCCGCGTAGGCCCGTCGCGAAGCCCGTACAGCCCGCGCCAGGCCGTCGCGCAGCCCGTACAGCCCACGTCAGGCCCGCACCCAGCTCGTAAAGCCCGCGCCAGGCCCGCACGCAGCCCTTACAGCCCGCGCCTGGCCCGCACGCGGCCCGTGTTACTGCTGCACTCGCTGCTGCTGCTACACTGCTGCGCCTGAACTGCTGCTGCAGTGCTGCTGCCGCCTGTACTGCCCTGCAACTGCTGCTGCTACTTGCTGCAGCTGCTCCTCCTTGCTGCTGCTGCTGCTACTTGCTGCAGCTGCTCCTCCTTGCTACTGCTGCTACAGCTAGCGCTACTCACTGCTGCTGCTACTGACGCTACTCCTGTAAAAGCTAGCGCTACTCACTGCTGCTGCTACTGAAGCTAGTGCTGCTACAGCTAGTGCTACTGCTGCTGCTGCTACTACGGCACTTGCTACAACTGCTACTGACTGAAGCTACGGCTGCTACAGCTAGTGCTACTGCTGCAGCTCCTACTCCAGCACTTGCTACAGCTGCTCCTGACTGAAGCTACTGCTGCTTGACTGAAGCTACTGCTGCTACAGCTAGTACTACTGCTGCAGCTCCTACTACTTCACTTGCTACAGCTAGTGCTACTGCTGCAGCTCCTACTACTGCACTTGCTACAGCTAGTGCTACTGCTGCTCTGCCACTGTGTCCGAGCCGCGCCGCCCAGCCCGAGCTGTCACTGCTGCTGCTACTGCAACTACTACTGCTACAGCTAGTGCTACTCGGTCTACTGCTGCTGCTGCTGCTGCTCGGTCTGCTGCTGCTGCCCGAGCCGCCCTGCTACTGCTGCTACTGGAGGGAGTACTGCTGGGAGTGGTGGAGGTGCGGCCTCCCACCCCCACCGAACTGCCCTGCTGCTGTTACTACTGCTGCTGCTGCTACTTGTGCTACTGGGAGTGGAGGAGGTGCTGCTGGGAGTGTAGGAGGTGCTGCTGGCGTTGTAGGAGCTGGAGGTGCTGGACCTACTCCTGACAGTCACTGTCTGTCATGGCCACTTCCGCGGCAGTCGCTGCGGCCAGGGGTGGACAGCAGCGGGCACTGCTTCTCCCGGACGACCCCACCCCTCGGCAGCTTCGTGAGTGGGTTATTCAGCGAGGCCGTCCTGGTGGTGGAGGTAATCGTTCTGTTAAGACCGCTGCTCTTGGTGTTAGTGAGTCTGCTTCCACTCCAGGTGTTAGTCAGTCTGCTGCCACTCCAGGTGTTAGTGAGTCTGCTGCAACTCCAGGTGCTAGTGAGTCTGCTGCAGCTCTAGGTGCCCGTGAGTCTACCGACGCTCTAGTTGCTAGTGCGTCTACTACCACAGGTCCTGCCTCAGCTGAGGTCTTGCACACTTTCACGCTTGACTCCGGCGCGTCACGTTGCTTCTTCCGTGATTGCACCACAGTCACACCACTCACAGCACCTGTCCCAGTCTCACTGGCTGACCCCTCTGGGGGCCCAGTGGTTGCGAGAGCCTCCACGGTCCTCCCTTGTCTAGCAGTCCCCTCCGGCTCTTTGTCAGGTCTCCACCTCCCCACGTTCTCGAGGAACTTGGTGAGCAACGCTGCCATTCAGGATGTCTGGGTTGATACCTTTATTCCTGGAGGGCAGCGTGTGGCGATCTGTACGTGCTCCCGGACTGGCCGTCACCTGGCTACGTTCACTCGACAGCCTGGGTCTAGTCTGTACACACTGACCACTGCGTCTGCACTGGTGGCTGAGTCAGGTCAGGTAGCTACGTCGAGTCGAGCGTCTGCGTCAGGGCAGTTAGCTGCGTCTTGCTCGTGCCGAGTACTCACGCACGAGACTCAGCGCTGGCACCACCGTCTTGGTCACCCCTCCCTGCAGCCTCTGCGCCGCATGCACTCCCGGCTCCTGGTCACTGGCCTCCCTGAGACCCTGCCCCCCCTCCCGCGCTCACTTGCGCCGCCGTGCCTTCCTTGCGTCGAGGGGCGGCAGCGCGCCGCTCCTCACTCCTCCGAGTTTCCTCCGACCACTGCTCCTCTGCAGACTCTCCACATGGACGTGTGGGGCCCGGCCCCCGTCGGTGGAACGGACCAGGAGCGCTACTTCCTGCTGGTGGTTGACGACTACACACGCTACACCACAGTCTTCCCCTTGCGGCGCAAGGCGGATGTCAGTGGTGTCTTGATCCCCTGGATCCGTGCTACTCGTCACCAGCTGCGCGAGCGGTTTCGGCAGGACTTTCCAGTCCTGCGTCTGCACTCTGACAGGGGTGGTGAGTTCTCCTCTGGCGTCCTCGAGACGTTCTGCCAGGATGAGGGCATCGCCCAGTCGTTCACGCTTCCGGCCTCTCCGCAGCAAAATGGGATCGCTGAGCGTCGCATTGGCCTGATCATGGAGGTTGCTCGTACCTCCATGATCCATGCGGCTGCTCCCCATTTCCTGTGGCCGTTTGCGGTCCGATACACCGCGCATCAGCTCAACCTCTGGCCCCGTGTCTCTGCTCCAGAGACCTCGCCCACACTCCATTGGACGGGACAGCCTGGTGATGCGTCGTCGTTTCGGGTCTGGGGCGCGCTCTCCCTTGTTCGCGATACCAAAGCGAGCAAGCTCTCCCCTCGCACTCTCCGCTGTGTCTTCCTGGGCTTCCCCACCGACGCTCCACCCTGGCAGTTCTACCACCCTGCCTCGCGTCGTGTTCTGTCCTCTCAGGATGTCACCTTTGACGAGTCGGTCTGTTACTACCAACTTCACCCGCACGCGTCCCACCCGGTCCCTCTCGCACCTCTCTTCCTGGTACCAGTCCCCCCCCCGGTAGACCCCCTTCCCCCACAGGGTCCTGCTCCCTCAGGTGTGTCCCAGGTAGACCCACCTCCCTTGGATGAGCCAGTTGAGATCTCTTCTGACTCCTCTGACTCACCTGAGGGGGGTGACGCCGTCGCCGACGACACGGCGACCACTCGCCGCACTCCTCGCTTGGAGACCCCCTCGGGTTTCCCGCCACGGCCGTCTTCGCCGCCTCCGTAGCCTGCTGCTGTGGACTCTGGAGCTGAGACTACTGGAGCTGGGGCTGGGGGTGGTGAGTCCGGGGGTGCCCGCTCTCCTCGTCTGGCTACACCCCCCGGGTTCCCACCTCTGCCGTCTTCGCCGCCTCTGCAGCCTGCTGCCGTGGACACTGGAGCAGAGACTGAGGGTACTGAGCCTGGGGGTGCTGGGACTGAGGGTACTGAGCCTGGGGGTGCTGGGACTGAGGGTACTGAGCCTGGGGGTGCTGGGACTGAGGGTACTGGGCCTGAGGGTGCTGCGACTGAGGGTACTGAGCCTGCGAGTGTTGAGACCGAGGGTCCTGCCTCTGGGGGTGCTGCGAGTTCGGGTGCTGACTCTGGGGGTGCTGCGAGTCCTTCTGGTGTTGGTGTCATCGGAGCTCCTACCGGAGGACCTGGAGCTACTAGTGCTGGAGGTACTGGAGGTACTGCTGGTGCTGGAGGTCAA